GCAGGATATCGTTGACAGCTCCACTGGAATCGGCTATGTATCGAACGACCTCGAAGCTCTCCGAGGAGCGGTATGCATTCCCCGAAATGCACGTGAAGCGTCGATCAGAGTCGACCAGATACCTGAGGTCTTGAAGGATAATCTAGAAACAGCTCCCGCCAAGTAGACTTCGGACAATAGAGAATGTAGAGTTGAATCAAAATTGGATCCAGCTTCGCTCGCCCCCGCGTTCGGGACTCCTTTTTTCGGTTCTATACGACCAATAGCTGACGAGTTGATGAGCCGCTGAGGTCCAATCTCCGGTGCCGGTGGTCCTCCGAGTAACAAAAAAATTTGGTTCCCTCCAATGAGAGAGAGCTTGAGGATGGAGGCACCTGCGGAAACCTGGAGTATATCTTTTTCGAAAGAGCAGCGCTACCCCTTGTTCAAACAAAAGCCTCATCCCCTGCACTCAACGGAAACCGCATCCCGCATCCGTTCTCGTTCAAGGTCAGCGATTCGATTGTGGAGCCTCATCGAAGAAAGTATTCCCCGACGACGACGAAGAATCATCCAAAAGTCCGCTGGTGGCACATTGCAAAACTTGGAACAGTCTGCTGTTAGCGAGCTCATGAATTGGTCAAATATGCGGCCGGCGTAGTGTAGGCACGCCGCCCTGAAGGTTTGCATTCCGTAGCTGCAGCGCGAGGAGTACCTCCGCCGGGCTACTGTCGATTCTATTTAAATGCTTTCGAGGTTGGGAATTGTATCGTGAATCAACCATTCGTTCTTCTGGTGCAATAATCTCTCGAGCGAATTTCGCTGCGGAGTCCTCGCCGATGGTATGCTCCTCGTCAGAGCAACGAGCGCCACGCTCGCAGGATCCCGCGACTCCTTGTTTGGCGCAGTTCGACCGTGACCTCGGAGCGTAATCGTCCCCTCACGTCACAGAACATGGCTTCCCCTCAAGTCAGAAGAGGGAGAAGAGGGGGGGGCTCAGGACCAAGAATACTGCATGAAGAAACCTATATGCCACTCTTTTTTGAGTCGATTCCAACGAGGCGAATATGGTCCCTTGAAATTAGGAATATGCACATATATTGTATTTTCTAAGGAGCCAAGCGAGCGACTCCGACGCTGTAGAAGGATATCGCTGTTACTGCTCGGACGACGGAAAGGCGGACATGCGCGGAGGCGCGCGCGACGATCACACCGATGAGGACCGTACTAGCAGCGAGCTCGAAACAATCGGTGAAAGCGTATCCCTTGCCGATGGAACGATGCTCCGAGACCATCGAAACGCAGGAATAGCTGCTCGAGAAACCGGACCCCTATGTTGATGCCCCGAATCTTGCGAAAATCAAAATCGAGACTTGCTTCGGGGTAAGATACAAGGTTGACAGACATTTCGAAATTCGCTCGACAAGGAACGTCACCGAGCAACGTCTTGCTTCGAGGAGCACCTACTCCATTCGAACAGCCTTGATGGTCGACATGTTGCTTACAGAGGAAAAATTCAGACACGATATCCATACCGACTCGGAAACTCTGGGTTCTCCGGTTATATCTCCAGCCATATTAAGGGAAGGAGGTCCAAGGAATACCATTTGTTTTCGCATGTGGAAAGATATGACAGCGAACGTGGTCTCAGAGACCGGAGAATCACAATGGAGAAGGTGGAGTCAGAAACATGACGGATCTCTTCAATTTTCTCTTTGTCCTTCATCTCGCTGTTTCCCCGACTGCCGCCGCCGCCGCCGCCACCTCAGTCGCCGCATCCGCCACCTCGGCTGCCACCTCCGCTGCCGTCACGGATATGAGGGAGCCACACTCCGACGCGAAGCCGCTCCGACTAATCTAGGCTGGAATGCGCGACGAACTTTCACCCCAACCGAGCTCGATACGCGAGTCGCGTCCCCGACGATTCTTCCACTTTCGCAGCAATCCCCTCCGTGAGCTCGATATCAAGGAGGTTCGAACCTGCAATCAGCGGCGAGATCGAAGATCGAACCCCATGGGGATCGGGTTACAGGCGACTTCCGGTCGGAACTCGTTGGGATTGAAGTTTTTTCGGTATCGGAAAATGTTGATGATGATAATGACGACATCTCGCGTAGCTTTCGGGGCTCGATCTGAGCGCGGAAATCTCTTTTAAAATCAACGGGCTCCCGGCATCTGACAGAAGGTTAAGCGAGGAGAAGCAACTGAAGTTCCCTCGAGATTGAGA